GCCCGGTCTACAGGAGGTCGTGGATTAGATCCCAGCCACTGATGCCTGCTGCTGTATATTTGAAGTTTGTGTCTCTCTCTCTCATCATCATCACGGTGGCTAGGAGATGTTAACTACCTCGCTTGGTATACAGGATGTCGTGGGTTCGATCCAGACCCTGACACCTGCTGCTGCTGCTGTTTATTTGGAGTTCGCGTCTCTCTCTCTCTGTGGTCGCGTGGATTTTTCTCCGGGTCCTCCGGGTCTTTCCCTCCACATTTAGAATCAACATTGCCACGCGTTTAGAGTATTTGGCTACTGATACATTTCCACGAGATAAGCCACTTCGTTGAGCTATCATTTGTGGCCAGGTCGCTTCTGAAAAAGAGCTGTGTAGCTCAGTGGGCCTTACCTGCTAAAATAAAAAAAATATCCATAAGAGGTCTTTGGGTTAGATCGCGTACATATAAGTGTCGTTAAATCCGCCACCATGCAACAGCCAATTAATAAGGTTTGTCACGTAAACAGAACATGCCAATTCGTTACTAGTTCAGCACAGCGGTGTGTTGGAGAGTAAACCCACAGCATTTACAATTCGAGTACCGTGAGGTTTCGCCAGTAATTACAACCAGCAGCATCAGGCGACAGCCAGAGTTGTGGAGAAATCATCCTGTTTCGGTCTTAAAAAGAGGGATAAATGTGATGTCGTCACTTGCGAGCCAATCAGGTGCGAAGATCAGGGGGGGTTGGGGGTTAATGTATGTACATACATTACAATGGATATCCATTACCGGCTGAGTTATTCATAGGGCAATCAAAAACCTCTATTGTGGATAATATTGGTCGCGAAATCCTACGTGTTAAACCAACATGAAAAAAGATAGTTTGGTTTTTATAGTTTTAGTTTAGTTCTGCTGGATACAGCAGTCGCATTTATCCATGTGATTTGTAACTCTGATCATTACCCGTGCACGTATCGATGGTTCAACGTTAACGTGCCATGGTATTGATGGACCACTGCTGCTGTATGGTGTTGTCTGGTGTGGGACTGTTGTTTGTTGTTTTTGTGGCTGCCTTGCCCAATCTTGATGAATCGCACTTACACAATTAACTCGTTTATTATTTGGTGACCCGCTTTCCATGTTCTCTATTTTTCACCCCTGTAGTTTTTGTTTGTACTGTTATTGTATTCTTAACTGTGCTGACCACGTGCCCCCCTACTGGACATCTGTGAAGAAGAAGAAAAATAACTTCAACGTCTCATCGGATTCCTCCTCCTGCAGTCTAAATAAAGATTCGGATTCACTGGGCCACAGAGGCTAGAACGCGGGGCCCAGGAAAGGGGCGGGGAAGAAGGGATTGGAGCCACGGGCAGAGCCCCCACCACTGCCCCAGCTCCACAGAGCCACGGGCAATGATCCTTCACTGCCCGCGACTCTCTCCACAAGTGAGTGCGGCGGTGGCGGTGGGGGCCCACTCTCTGACCCTGCCACTGTGACCAGAGGTCGGCAACCTTTAAAACAGGAACGAGAAGAAGTGACAAATTTGTTTTGAACCAAAATGTTTCGAGAGCCGCGTCGCAACGCACAGCTGCCTTGTACACAAACATCGCAGTGGGTAGGACAAAGATCCCCCGTGTAGCCTTCACAGACTGTAGGGGCAAGTGCTGTTAGCGAGCAGCACCTATGAAGGCCAGAACGGTACACGAGGGGATGGGTGGCCAGCACCACGCCCGACCGCCTTTGTCTCCCCAGTGGCGATGTTTACACATCGCACCAGGTACTCATTTCAGGCTGACTCGACCTAGGGGAGGCCCAGGACCGATTCAAATAATCGTCACTGGTGTTGGCCGTGAGCGGGAATCGAACCCGTGTCGCCAGGTTCATAGCCTAGCGTAGCGCTAACCACTACACCACCGCTCCCCAACAACTTTCTAGTTGATGGGATAAACTGCGTTATTCTTTTAACAAAACCATCGCTGTGAACCCCTTATCAGTGCCCCCCCCCCCCCTACCTTATTACAGACCAATTCAGGCCTTATTGGTCGCCCCGTGCCCCTTATAAATCTCAACGTTCATCCTAAAAGTCCCATCACAAGCGTGAAACGTGTTTCGTTTGTTTGCCAGAACTGAAACGGCTGTACGCCGTATGGACCTGAAAACTCAATTTCCCCGTGCAAGAATACGGAGTAAACCGAATGGTTTGAGATGTATGATGGTGTAGTGTATAGTGTAGGGTATAGTCGTGCATAGTGTAGTGTATACTAGTGTAGTGTATAGTGTACCGTATATGAGTGTGTAGTAGTGTGTGTATGTGTAGTGCAGGACTTGGTAGGGAGGCACCTACTTTTATTAACACGCACGATCTCGACCACACACACTCGATCCTCGCCAGCCTGAACACAACACTCGACCGGTAGCATCGACGGCGTTAACCGAGATATCTGGCAGGCTGTAATCGAGCAGCGTGGCCTCGCTCCGCCATGGCCACGCCCCCCTTCTGGAACCCACCAGCGGGTTCCAGAGGCTTCCAGACGGACCCCTCCATGACCATTGCCCCAGTTCTTCCACTCTGCCGACACACACACACCGTGTGTGCACCGTCGGTCACTGGCGTGTGTGCTGTTTGTACACCGCAACAGTAGCTACTACACATGTAGCAGATACATATGTAGCAGCTACATATGTAGAAGCTACCTATTTAATAACAGCTACATAAGGAGTAGCTACATATTTAATAACAGCTACATATTTAATAACAGCTACATATGTAGAAGCTACATATTTAATAACAGCTACATATGGAGTAGCTACATATTTAATAACAGCTACATATTTAATAACAGCTACATATGTAGAAGCTACATATTTAATAACAGCTACATATGGAGTAGCTACATATTTAATAGCTATATATTTAATAACAGCTACATATGGAGTAGCTACATATTTAATAGCTACATATTTAATAACAGCTACATATGGAGTAGCTACATATTTTATAGCTACATATTTAATAACAGCTACATATGGAGTAGCTACATATTTAATAGCTACATATTTAATAGCAGCTACATATGGAGTAGCTACATATGTAATAACAGCTACATATGGAGTAGCTACATATTTAATAGCTATATATTTAATAACAGCGACATATGGAGTAGCTACGGGCCCCACACTTTCAAGGGCCCCGCGCTAAATGCTCTCAAGCTATCAATTCCGGTTCGGTGATTCTGCACTTGCTCTATTACTATAGTACTATACCGCCTTCAACTGTTATGAACAACTGGGTGTTTAAGGTTAGCGAGTTGTCCTATTATTTGGCTGTATAGCAAATGAAAAAAAACGTTACTCTGCAAGTAAAAATGTATGTGTTTTAATATTTGTTTTATTTATTTATTGCAACAACATATTGCTACAGGCCCCGCACTAGCTTAATCCGCCACTGTCTATTGGAACAAACAAAAAATACGGTCCGATTTACGACAGTGTTCCCCCTGGAACGCACGTTGCGTATTGAAAGCGGGGACCGCGTGCGCTAGCCGCGCTATAGAAGTTTAAGAGTGGAAATAACCGAGTGAGCTCAATTCAGGGTTTTTTTTTGGGTTAGATCGCGTTATTTATAAATGTGTCGTAACCCTCCACCACCCGACACGGCCAATCAGCAAAAAAAGTGTCACGTTGACAAACGACAAATTAGTTCACCGCTTTAGCCCTCCGGTGTGTTGAAGAGTGAATCCACAACATTTACAGTTTGAGTAGTACGACGTTTCGCTGGTAACTACATCCAGCATCATCGGGCAATTCGCCAGAATGGTGAAGCCCTCGCTTGCTCCCGATCTTAAATAGAGCAGCAGCAGGGTGACGTCATCATTTAACTCATTATGAATAATATTTGGTCGCCAAAGCCTTACGTGTTAAACCCAGGGGGTTTGTTTAAAAAGACGGGCTTGCCCGCAAGGGGTCAGGCCAGGTTGCCGACCCCTGGGTGAGACCAATGAACAGCAGCAGCAGTAGCCCACAGAGCGCCCGGGGAACACGGCAGGACACCCTCGGGGGGGAGATGGAGCGATAAGTTGGGATCGTGCACACGGGGTGGACGGACTGCTGCGTCGCTACGAAACCCCGGCGAAACCGAGTTCGATTCGCGCTCACGGCCAACGCCAGTGGCGATTATTATCTGAACCGGTCCTGGTGCCTCCCCGAGGCCATGAACTTCGCCTCTGGGGAGACAAAGGCGGCCGGGGGTGGTGCTGGCCACACATCCTCCTCGCTGCTGCTCGCTAACAGCACTTGCCCCTACAGCCTGTTGCAGGCTGTACAGGGGACCTTTGTATCTCTAGAAAGGGCTATGGGGGCGGTAGGGGGGGCGGGGTCACCGACAGGGGGCGAGGGGGTGGGGTTCGACGGGGGGAGGGGAGTGACGGAAGGGGGGCGGGGTTAGCAAGGGGCGGAGCGTGGTGGGAGGGGGGGGCAATAGGCGAGGGGGCGGTGCCGTGTGGAGTTGAGGGCGCCGAGGGGGCGGGGCGGGGTGAGCCAAGGGGAGGGTTGGGCAATGGGGGGCGGGGCGATGGGCAAAAAGGCGAGAGGCGGGGCGGGAGTTGGGCGATGAGGAGGGCGGGGCCGTGGGGTGGAGGGCGATGAGGAGGGCGGGGCCGTGGGGGGTGGGGCTGTGGGGGGTGGGGGGCGGGGCTGTGTGGGCTTCTGGCCCCTTCTGGGGGATTCTCCGCGTGACGTCAGGGCCGGCGCTGCCCTCTTAAAGAGGCGCGCCGGGGGCGGCCGGCGGGCAGTGGCGGGCAGCGGAGGGAGCGCGGCGACAAGAGAAGTCAGCAGCAGCAGCATCAGCAGCATCAGCAGCAGCATCATCATCAGCAAGCAGCACCACCACCATCAGCAGTAGGAGCAACAGCAGCGGCAACAGCAGCAACTTCAGCAGAAGCATCATCAGCAGCAGCAGCAATATCATCATCAGCAACAGCATCATCAGCAAGCAGCACCACCATCAGCAGCACCACCACCATCAGCAGTAGGAGCAACAGCAGCGGCAACAGCAGCAACTTCAGCAGCAATATCATCATCAGCAGCAATATCATCAGCAGCATCATCATCAGCGGCGGTGGTGGTGATCCCCAGCGTGGCGTGGTGACGACTCCGCGCCAAGGGGATGGCTCGGCTGCCCCCGTTCAAGGGGTTCGGCTCGCTGAGGGATCACCCCTTGTGGGACGACGCCCAGCAGCAGGTACGTGCCCTGTCCCTCGTGAGGGGGTCTCTGTAGTGAGGGGGGCTCTCGTGAGGGGGTCCCTCGAGGGGGTCCCTCGTGAGGGGGCTCTAGTGAGGGGGGCTCTGTAGTGAGGGGGTCCCTCGTGAGGGGGTCTCTAGTGAGGGGGTCCCTCGTGAGGGGGTCTCTGTAGTGAGGGGGTCCCTCGTGAGGGGTCTCTAGTGAGGGGTCTCTAGTGAGGGGGGCTCTAGTGAGGGGGGCTCTAGTGAGGCGGTCTCTAGTGAGGGGGGCTCTAGTGAGGGGGTCTCTGTAGTGAGGGGGTCCCTCGTGAGGGGGTCCCTCGTGAGGGGGTCTCTAGTGAAGGGGTCTCTGTAGTGAAGGGGTCTCTGTAGTGAAGGGGTCTCTAGTGAAGGGGTCTCTAGTGAAGGGGTCTCTGTAGTGAAGGGGTCTCTGTAGTGAAGGGGTCTCTGTAGTGAAGGGGTCTCTGTAGTGAAGGGGTCTCTGTAGTGAAGGGGTCTCTGTAGTGAAGGGGTCTCTGTAGTGAAGGGGTCTCTAGTGAGGGGTCTCTAGTGAAGGGGTCTCTAGTGAAGGGGTCTCTGTAGTGAAGGGGTCTCTGTAGTGAAGGGGTCTCTGTAGTGAAGGGGTCTCTGTAGTGAGGGGGTCTTTATGGTGAAGTGGTCTCTGTGGTGAAGGGGTCTCTGTGGTGAAGGGGTCTCTCTGGTGAAGGGGTCTCTGTGGTAAGGGGGTCTCTGTGGTGAAGGGGTCTCTGTGGTGAAGGGGTCTCTGTGGTGAAGGGGTCTCTGTGGTGAAGGGGTCTCTGTGGTGAAGGGGTCTCTGTAGTGAAGGGGTCTCTGTAGTGAGGGGGTCTCTGTAGCCAGCCAGGGGCCCTCTCGTCTGCCCCACAGCTGGGGTCTCGGGTCGTGTCCTGCTCTACCCCAGGGGGTTGTGGGTTCGACCCCGACCGTGACCCCTGCCTGCTGCTGCTGCTGCGTCGTCTTCATCTCTCTCCCCAAGGTCACGTGGATTATTCTCTGGCTCCTCCGGGGTCGAATCCACGTCACCACTCGTTTCGAGTTATTTGGCTCGCTGCTCTAAATGTCCACGTGACGATTCGCCACTTCGTTCGGATATCATTTGTGGCGAGGTCGCTTCTGGAAAAGCAAGCTGTACAGCTCCGTGGGGCCTCACCTGGTAAAATAAAATTGGTTTAGTGTGACCCGCTGATTCGCGGGAGGAGCGGTGGTGCAGTGGTCAGCGCACTGTGCTCCTAAGTCGCCCTCACCCGTTCGAATGCCCCATCCACGGGCCAACATCAGTTGGTGAGTGATATCAGGAGCCGGTAATGGGTACGATTTGCGCTTCCAACAAACGGGCCCCACCATGATCCGCGTGGTGAAGTATGGGCACACGACCCCTATAGGAGAGTTGAGAAAGAGACGTAGTATTGGGAGGCCCTAAGTAAGTAGTGGATGTAACGGGTCGCGTGTTTATGAATGTTGTGTCGATTACCCCAGGGACGTGGCCTCTCTCATTTGCGTTGTGGCTCGGCGGGGGAGCCGTTGTGCTCTGCCCCCACCTCCCTCGGTCGTATCGATGAAGAAGACGCGAACCTTCGTGTACAAAGACAAATATGCCCCCCGTATAGCCTTCATAGACTGTTGGGGCAAGGGCTGCAGGCGTAGCAGCGCCTTTGAAGGCCGGCACGGGCACACGAGGGGGTGGCCGGCAGCACCACTACAGGGAGGCCTAGGACCGCTTACAGATATTCGTGGGAATCTAACTCGGTACCCCGGGTTCGCAGCGCTCCACTACCGCTGCGTCCTCTCTCCTGCACAGTCACGTGCTTCGTGAACGTCACTGCTTTCTGTGCAAACGTCAGGAGACTCGGCGTTGTCCCGTTTGGATTCGACACCGTTCAAAGCTTCTAAATCTCCACCGACGAACTCCGCCGTGTAGGCCTGGCTTCAAAAGTGAAAAGGGTACACACATCTACCCTCAATCCCCTTAAAATGTTGAGGGGCCTCAAAATGACCCCCCCCCCCCCCCAATCTTTATTTTCTGAGCTGAAAACCTGATGGCGTTTTTGTATCCAGCAACCCTTCACGACCTCCTGAATGAAGACCCGATTCGGCTTAGTGCAGGGGCCTGCATGCGGTGGCTCTTTTAAGGGCCGCTGCATCGTGACCTTTATATATCAAGGAACCACTCTCTCGTATTCACCAACACAGTACATTGCACGTCCCTTGAACTATTCAGTTGAGGTTTTTTTGTTTGTTACCGAATTACCAAACCAATGTCAGCTCTTGTTATTTTGGTTTTCCGACCCACCGGGCTTTTGGTAGCAAAAAGAAAATGTAAAAAAAAATATTTGCGTCCCCAAAAGTTTGAGGGGGGGGGGGGGCACAAATCGAAATTTTCGATTCACCGATTGTTCTGGTTGCTACGTGAACATAGACTCGACTATATTTATACGAGCGTTCACATTTTTCCAGACCCTTCTGGAACACGCGAGCATCTGCATGAGTCATTCACTCACTCACGACCAGCTGTATGCTAAACATAAATAGGCAGTGTGCTGCCATCACATGCTTGATTTATTTAAGAATGGAATAAAAATGGCGTATTCTCCGGACCTATAAGACTGTCTTTAAAGTAGAGGAAGCACTTCCAACCGTGTGCTTCCGATTAGCACTGTTGGCTGCGTACGGAGCTAAAGAAGTTCAACATACATACCGTACATATAATTTATAGCGACAACCGCCATTCGCCACTAAGTGCCGGTGATGTCACTACGGCGCTTGTGCCAGGCTAGGTGCACTTTGAGGCCACATGAAGTGTCAAACGCCCGCTGACAGGAGGTCATAGGATGGACCCAGCAGGTGCCACGGGTCACATACACAGCTACCGGAATATAAGACGCACCACCCCCCCCCCCCAAAAAAAAACTTTGCTTTACAATTTTGGAAAGAAAAAAAAGTGACTTCTAATCCAGAGAATATGGTAATGCCGCACGAAGAGTGTCCTCTTAATCCGCATGAGATCACTCGACTCGCGTGGTTGGTGGGGGTGGGTGGCGGTCGAGGCATGAGGGGGTGGGTGGGACATTTGACCCTAAATGGGCCCACCCCACGGGCCCAATCGGCACGCTGCACACACCACGCAAATAGCAAAACCACCGGCCGTGGGGGGGGGGGTGGTCCCTGTTCCAAGCACGTTGGAGGTGTGCCCACCCCGTCCCCGTTGTGGCGAGATGGGCCACTATCCTCGATCAAACGGCCTCTTCCGTGCTGCCCTACGGGCGTCATCCACTAACACGAGAGGCGCGTGTCGCGTGTGTGGGGCTAGCTAGAGGATGGGTGGGGGGGGGCAGTCGGTGGTAGCCTGGTTTGACGAGGCCTCTCCTCGAGACGCAGTTGACCAAATGGGTCGGTCAGCCAAAATAACAAGATAGAGCCATACATTTTTTTTTATTTTGTGGGGGGAAAAAAAAGCCCTCAATATTTCAAGAGCCAGTAATGCATGTGGTGAATACGAGACGGTGAGTCCTTAATAAATCACGTCATGAAGCTGTCCTTAACCAAAAAACTATTACACTATTTTAATATTTTACCAGCTAAGGCCCACTGAGCTATATACTGTAACTCTTTCTCAGAAGTGACCTGGCCAAAACCGATAGCTCAACGAAAGTGGCTTACCAAATACTCGAAAAGCGCACGTCGATTCTAAATGTGGAGGGAAAACCGGAGGACCCGGAGAAAAATCCACGCAACCACGGGGAGAAAGAGAGACACGCAAACTCCAAATATGCAGCAGGCGTCAGAAGAGCCGCGTTTGGTAGTTGCCAACCGCAACTACCAAAGGGGGAGCATGCGACTGGCGTGGGCATGGGGAGTGCTGACTCCACCACGCCGACCGAGCAACACATTCTAAGTGCACAATTTTTTTCGCGGCCGTTTGCCCGATGCCGAGGATTCGCATCCGAGTGTCTCGTGCAGTGGGAATGTGCGAAATTTTTTTCTTCCGCCGAGTATGCGCGTGGCCTGCGCGCACAGAGAGACGCTCTGTGTCTCAACTGCCGTGGGCGTGTGGGGGCAATAGTGTAACCGTGGCCACAGCGACTCGTCCTGTATTTGAACTCCATTGGGGAATAGTTATTGGTTATCGACAGCCCTTTGTCAATCCGCTGCTGGATGAAGGCCTCGCACGCTGTTGGTAATTGGCAGGGGGGGGGGGGGGGTTTGACCATACTTCACGACACTGGCTAGTCAAACTAAAACTAAGCTGTTTTTATTTTACCAGGTAAGGCTACATGAGCTATGTAGCTCTTTTTCATAAGCGACCAGGCCACAAATGAATCCTAAACGATTTGTTTTATCACGTGGAAATGTGTTGCAGTCAAACACTCTAAACGCATGATGTTGATTATAAACGTGGAGGGAAAAACAGGACTCGGAGAAAAATCCACGCGACCACGGGGAGAGAGAGAGAGAGAGACACGCAAACTCCAAATATACAGCAGGCGTCAGGGTCGGGATCGAACCCACGACCTCCCTGTATACCAGGCGAGGTAGTTAACATCTTGCCACTGTGGCTAGTGAAGAGGAGAGGGGGGGGGCCCTTGACCGGTTCAGATATCACCGCCGATGTTAGCCATGGCCGGGAATCAAACTCGGGTTGTTGCCGCCCGGATTCGTAGTGCGGTGCGCTAACCACTGCGCCGCCAACTCCCCCGTTGGGCATACCGTGATGCTGTCCCCCACCTTGTCTGTTGCGCTGCCTTAGAAGGGCATGGCTGTAGCAGCTGTTGCAGCAGCCTGGGCAGAGGGGGCCTCTGTTCAATTTGCCGTTGTCTGGAAGAGTTGACCGCGCGGTTTCCAGAGAGGGTGTGTACGAGCGTGTGTCTCATGGGATGAGTGTGTGTGTGAATGACTCATTGGCGTTGCACAGGGTGTTTGTGTACGCGCGTGACTGCCAAGTAGGATTGAGTTGTGTGTCCCATGGTCTGTGTGCGCTTGGATGGG